GAACCTTTTACGGAGATTGTAGGGTTGCTATAAATAAAAGATCTGTCGCGTCCAGAAAGGGTTGCTTGTACAACATTGTGTTTGTGTTGTTCTTTATAAAATTCACATTTTTATATTTAAACTGACGATGAGTCGATGACCAAAGACTCAGTTGCTATTCACGAAATGAAACATTACTTGGATATTTGTATAATAACTATCGTTAGCACAGAAATATTAAATATATCAGTGATCGTGAGACATACTAAATTAACTCGTCGAGTACCGGTTTTGTAGACAAAATTATAGAACAATAGGTTGCGGTCACCGGTGACCGCTTGGTGTTTGACAGTTTAATAAATATTTTATTATAAGTTACGTTTATAAAATCTGATTACAACGCCCTTTTTTGAACAAGTTAGTTAATTAATATGCTACACCTTCTCCTAATTGAAACAAACACTTTTCTGGAAACCGCATCAAAATCGGCTCAGCCAATCGCGAGATATTCGCGCACAAACATACATACATACAGTTTATACTAAGAACCACTTTTTTTCTTTTTGAAGTCGGTTTAAAATGGCGGAAATTATGAGGAAGACCCTTTCTGTGACTTGTAACTATAATAGTACAGTTTTATCAATATTTTTATTAGTAAACTAGCATTTTCAATTATTATTAGTATTTATTGATGAGATTATAAATAAATCTATCCCTTAAACTGTCAAACACCAAGCGGTCACCGGTGACCGCAACCTATTGTTCTATAATTGTGTCTACAAAACCGGTACTCGACGAGTGGTGAATAATGTTCGCATTTACCCGCAATGCCTATTTTTAACCGAATTAAAAAAAAGGCGGTTATTAGGGATATTTTGTTTGAATTTGAATATTTTGAATTAGTCACTAGGAAACAGTCACTAAATCACGATACTTCATTCATAAAAATTCAACTATAATACCATACCTAGTTGATCACCTACCTAGACAGATTAGATACATCACATTATTTTCTTTGCACTGTCTATATCTTGTATATAAAGGGCATTGCTTCCGTCCCCATCACGTGCTGTACTTGTGAGCCGGCCAAGTTCGCTGACAATACACGTGCGTTGATGTTGGATCATAATAGTAACCGTCTACAATATCACGAGTGTCTGACTAAGGTACCACTGCAGCGTCACCCTGTATCTCGCATATACATATGTTAAACTTAACCTTTTTAATGATGGGATGTACGTAATCTTAAAGTGGCAGAACCGTGTTTCAAGATGAAGTGATATATAACATAATACTACCCATACCTTATAGGTAATACTACTAATCTATTGTAAGAATAATTTTATGAAACTTTCATCACACGACCATTAAGTCGTTTTAACCGAAAACGTGGTCTTTTACAATACAAAAAATAATTAATAATCATGAAATAAAACCATAGGCCATAAGTTCACGATCTATATTTACAAGTTCACGTAAATTCGGCAAAGATGACGTCACACTTTTCGTAGCTCGCGTAGTAGCTACAATGTCTACGCCAGCTACGAAAATCGTAGCCGTGGAATTTGGAATTCATGTTTATTTACGCAAAATTCGTAGTAATATGGCTACGAAAAGTTTGTAGCAAAGAGTATAATGATCAACGACTGATCTTGGTTGTACCCTTTTTTTTTTAAGGGGGGAAAAATCATCGAATGACTGCTCCCGCCTGGGTGAGGCGGGAGGGAGTGTCAGACTCTTACTGACTAAAAACCACCCCGTTCCTTCTCCTGCACGTCGAGCCGGAGCCCCGGTTACCCGTTAGGTTCTCCGCGATTGGTTGTACCCTTAGCGACACATTTTATTGATTACGATATAATTATTAATTTGGTGTGCACTATATAAATATAAACGTATATGCGAAATCCTGTTTAAAACACGTGTCTTTTAGAAAGGAGCTTTTACAAAAATCTCAATTTTTATTCCATATATTTTTAGCAGGGAAAAGTTATGAATGAACATTAAAATAAATCAATAAGCTGCTTTATAATATCTAGTTGTATCAATGCAGTATACTTATGGGGTTAAAGTCCTGACTATGCGGTTATAAAATGCTAGAGAGGTTGCCGACACGAATGTTGCTGGCGACAGGATGGCGCGACGCGTAAACGCTATAAAAGGGAAAATTATTCTTAAGAGAACTCTTTTCATTGCTCATTCTTCAGCGAAAGAAACGATGAAGAATTATAAATAGACTTTATAGTCCTATTTCCATTTATTACTATGATATACTGATATAGGTTTCTGTTTCTCTCAGTTAAGTAACGAATGAACAGTTTTAAGTAATACTGTTTACTAACTTAATAAATAAAGTTACTCGATAAGTTTCTAACCACGACGGGGACCCATAATCGTGAGCTGCATGCACGACTAATGATGTGGACATGTTACTTAGCAAACAGGTAGGTAAGTAAGTAATCTGAATTACCTAATTGACTAGAGAGGTACTTATTAAATATCTACTTTGATATGTTTAATTTATTTTTTCAGACTTATACATAGGTCGATGATAAATTCCTGTCCGTCTAATTTGTGGGTTGACCGATCAGTAGACAAATTTTCTGTTACTGTGATAACAATACAATTATTGTTTCTAGGTAGAAATAGATTGAAACATAAAGAAGTCCTTTCTTCGTAAGACTAGCTACTACCCTAATTCTCCTTTAAAAATACTTAACAGGTTGCGTAGGTACGAGTGTTGATTTATGTCAACTGGTACAGACTAATGGTAAACTCACACCTCATAAATAAATTCTTATTAAACGGATCATAGCCATCTGTCTCGATCACTGAAAAATTATTACACCCTGATACGCAACCGACGCTGTGTGGGTGAAGTTGGCGACATGCCAATTGCCAAGTCCCCCCTAGACAACATAGGGCATAAACCACTGCAACACTGACCTATCTATCATAGAAGTAAGTCTAGGTCAAACAAATATAAAAGCATATAATGATTGGATCAAATTATCTATTACATAATTACTTACTTATATTCTGTAGAAGTTATTGTCCTTACAGCACGTTAACGTCGCAGCGAAGTCCCAAGGAAAACTTGTGTAATTTTCTTCCTTCATAAGGACACGAGGTTAAAGACGTATTCGCCGAAAAGGCGCGGGAAACTGTGATATGGAGCAGTGGAGTTGTTATGACGCGCGTCGTCAACCCTCCGCGGCGGTTGGCATGGCACTGGGTACTTTTTGGCACTAAACTGGCTTATCAAGCCAGTGTGCTTTTGCAGTACACGGGCTGCATTGTGCTCATATTTGTCAATACAATTTCTATATCGAGAGTGCGTGATATGGAAAATGGGAAAAGTGCCACAGATGGCGTCTGTTGTTGACGTCATTTTACGTTTCTCATAGAAGTAGGTTCTTACTAGATTACTAGGTATATGGATAGGATCTTATCAATTCATCGTCGGTAGATTGGTTAGTACGGTACGGCTTACCTAACTTACGAGGTCTTTGATTCTAACTTTGACTAATAATCGAAATAATAAAAAGATGAGTAGACATATCAATCTTAGTATCAGTTCAGTGGAAATTCCCCTATGCTTATTATACTCTTTGTGTAGTTATTCTGAGGAAGAAACAGGGTAGTTTGTAATCAGTAAGAGCCCAAGCCGGAAGAAGTCATTGGATTATCCCCCCACCTCTAAAAGAGACTTAAGTAGGTACCTAGTCAGTCACACACTTGCAGCTTTTCATACGTGAGTCAATCATTTTTTTTTCTACGACGAATTCTATTAACGTTTGAACGCATGCAAGGGATAAGTTCTAAGAACAAAACGTTGCTAATCTATATATATAAAAATAAATCCCTTTTTCCCCTGGTCATGGCATCATGCGTGTATGGCTGGACAGATTTCACGAATTCTTTTTTTGTTGTATATGTTGTTATTTTTTGGAGGTTCTTAAAATTAAAAAAAAATCCCCATAATCCTACGGGAACGGGAGAGTAGTTTTATGAAAATAAAGGTTAGGTAGGTACTTAAATTATTTAAAGGTTCAGAAATTTATTCATACAGATTTCACGATTTTTTTAAACGTTGGCCCACACCATTATGACTTCTCACGCACATGATGCCTAGACCACAAAGAATCATTTGCGTATCATACAAGCAGTTGATCTGTGCGGGAATCAAACCCGCAACATGTTACGAGGCAGGCGGCGCTCAGACACCACGCCAATCGTGCAAAAAAAATTTGAGAGACCTTTTTTTCAAAAAATAACTATCATTTTTCTTCAACGTATTTAACATGCTGCCTCCTTGGCCGAGTGGTCGCAAGTGCGACTACCGGTCTCGTGTTTGATACCCGGGTCGGGCAAAGTACTACTGGGTTTTAAAAAAAAATCTCAGTGGTAGCACGGAGTCTGGAATTGTGCCCGGTATATGGCAATAGGCTCACCCCTTATAACATAAATAGTAAATAGTGGGTGTTACATTGTATAGTGGCATTAATTGTCGTAATGTGCACCTTTGAGGGCGCCTCTGCCTATCCCTTCAGTGATAAAAGGTGTGATGTTATTTATGTATGTTATAAAATAAAATGTATGTAGGTATTTTGTAAATAAAATAAAAACATAATTATAACATATTTATTTCCACTAGAAACTCTGAACTAGACATTATTGCACTAAAACATTATATTAAAAATAAAGTTATCTAATCACATAATCACAAAACTTTTATTGACATAAAATTTTTGGTGCAAAATATAAAAAGTCGCGGCCTTACTTTATAAATGGTGTGATTTTTTTAAACCGATTTGTTTAAGTTGAGTGCACACAATGTTCACTTACGACTGAAACAAATAACCAGAGGCCTTAGTATGAGTTTGATTTACGTTTAAAGTATTCGAAACGAGTACGCGTTTGGCACTCTTATTGGCCGGCGCCAATTAAGCAACCAATCACAGCGCCGAACGCGTACTCGTTACGATTACTTTAAACGTAAGACAAACTCGTACTAAGGCCTCTGATTTAAATCCAAAATCTATGGATCGAACTAGGTTTATAAGTATGATAAAAAATTTATACAAAGATTCAAGATTGAAAGAATTTCAGCCGCCCTAGTACCAGTATCCCATAATTTAATTTTCTTAATTATGTAGGCTACACACCTTTTTTTAAGGGATGAAAATCATCGAATGACTTCTTCCGCCTCTGGGAGGCAGGAGGGAGTGTTAGACTCTTACTGACTAAAAACCACCCCATCCACCCCTTTTACGTTCGCCCCGGCTCCGTATCGGCATCAGCCCTATATGCAACTGTACAGTTTTCCTTGAAGGTGTGTAGGCTGTACGGACTTACGATTTAACTATACAATTCGACTGTACATACTGTATGTAGTTAAATAGTATTTTATTTATCTGTACAGTCGAAGTGTACAATTATAATTGTATAGTTCAAATGTACAGTTAAATCGTAAGGTGCGTACTGTGTAGCGCGCATTAGTGACAGAACTGAAGTTTGACACAATGTGCACCCAACTTAACATATTACTCTTGATAACATATTGAGGTTCAATCTTAAAGCAGTCGTTATGTATTTAGGATTTTACAAAAAACATGGTCAATGTACTAGTTACCGACCCCTGTTAAATATATGTCTCATTTCATTATGTCGCTGAAATTAGTATCGCTGGAATCCTCTCCAAATATAAGAAAAATAATTTATTTTAGGAACAAAACCACTAATTTCAATTTAAAAAATAATAATATCTGTTTCATGAGTATTTTAGGTTTCCATTCACACCAATATCTAGTTACTCTATCTCTTTCTTTCATTGGTTTGATAGAAAGAGACAAATGTAAGTTAAAAACGGAAAAGATAACCGTTTCGAAACCTAAAATATTTAATACTTGACGAGATCTTTCAATGAAAAGTTTCATTTTTAGAGGCGCTAGTGTCGTGTTGAGCATCTGGAAAATATCTATATTACGAAATTCAGACTACAAAATAATATTAGGTAACTTTATGATCAATTTTATTAGCCTCTTGTTTATAAGTCTAATTACTCTATAAAATAAAATTAATACTTAATTCATTCACTTTCGTTGTAATTCAGTAAAAGTCAAAGGAATATAGAAACTAACGTATACATTTTTTTCCGCAAACAGTTGCAATTTGAACCTTATTATCAGGTACATAATGTATAATTTAAGTATGACTATTTTAAAAGGGATCGGTAAAAGCACATTGTTATTTATAAGGTAACTACTTTATTAATTTAAAATGAAAGAAAGTTACATTTGTAAACGATAAGCGATTGTTTGAGCACAAAATTACTTTGTCAGATCAATCGAATAAATATTTGTTAAAAAAATGAGAACTATGAGACAAGTTACTTTTCGCGCGCCCTGCTAGACAAAATTTTAATATGCTGTAGGCTGCTGGCCCATCGGTTATTATTTTGGCCAAAACAATAGCATATTTACCGCCTTTAACTTACGGTCTATTTAGGTTCAGAAATTATTTTAATCGTCTGGTTTTTCTAGCATCCCCATTTCTATTTTCCGTTCATTATTTTATAATGTATCATGAATAAATTGTGCTTTCTTTAGAAGCAACGATTATATATTAACCGAAACAATAACTTTTCAGTTTTACAGTGAAACTTTCAGTCGTTAAACTAATAAAGTAGTTGCTTATATTCAAAATGTATAGACATACAGACTAGCTGTTAACATCGCGGCTCTAAGTCACCATTTTAGCTCTATACACATATTACCACGGCGAGGTTCGTTAAACCCATGGTCCATCACGTTCACAAAATAACATTATAAATAAATAATATATATGTTATATATCTCTTAGTTTAAAGTATGAACGAACTTGTTTCATAGTGATGTCATTATATCGATAAAAATACAATTAAGTTACACCACGAAGTCAGTGGATGAAAATATAATATGTAACATGAATTGTAATTCATATTTAACTGAATTAAATAAAAAATACAGAGATCAGGGGGCTAACAGACCTCGCCACTAGTTTGATCCTTAATAATTAATTAATTTATGATAAATTTTATTTTACCAACACTCCGTCGGTGATCAAATATAGCAATAAAGCTAACACCACAGCAGTTTTAATTTTCATTGACAAAAATATAAAATCAGATCTTATACAAAGGCTTTTAGCATATAAGCACCTTCATATGACATCAACCGAATAAATCTCGCCTTTAATTTTGAAAAACAGTATGGAAAATACTATCGAAGGTAACTCCATAACGGGGACTGTGTAAGCAAATAGACATACCTATTTCCAAACAACAAAAAAAAAACAATATAAATTATATTAAAATTGGTAATTACCAAAACTAGCTTAAAACCAAATATTTAACCGCTGCAATACGCTGATATGACACACAATAGAAAATGCAATGTGTCTCGCGTGGATCCGCGTATAGACACATGAAAGGTTAAAGTTGTTTGGAAAAATATTTGAAGCTCAAATTACTTTCCATTTGCAAAGGCTTCGGCTACTTCTTTATAGTACTACTAGGCACTCCTTCGTGGTTTCCCCCGCTGCTGGCTTCTTATCAATCGTAGCGTCTATAAGCCTTACTTGATCAATGGACTATCCAATAGAGAAAAAAACATTTAACCCGAGGCAGTAGTTCCAGAGATTAGAGCGTTCAAACGAATATACAACCTTTTCAGCTTTATACATAAGTTTAAAGTATGTATACAGGGTGACTTGTAACTCAACGTATTCCTCTCGCCAAAACAGAAAATGTTGAATATTTCAGAAACTAGCCACTTTCGGACCCCAGGGCTAATTTTGTAAGAAATTAGTTGTATTATCACCTCCCGAGAGGAATACGTCGAGTTACAAGTCACCTTGTATGTAGAAAAATCTTGTTTCCGTATCAGGCAAATGCGCAGGCGAGATGTACATTCGTTTAAAACGGACGCATCCTGAAGTAATTGTTGTAATGACTTCGAACAACGACGGCGTGCTTTAGCTTAGAAATATAACAATAACAACTCTACACTTAACTAGTGCACTTTACACCCACGGAATGATTTCACATGATCGAAAAATTATAATTCGAGTTTATTAACTTAATAAATCCAATTAAATGTAATCTTTTAACCATTAGTAGTGCTATACAAAATAAGTACCCGAATATTATTTACCAATACACTTCACATCGGTGAGACATTCCTATCCATTCACAATCGGCCCGATCAAACTTGCATAATTATATAAAAAATATCTGCTCAAATATAAGACTAAAGCTGAGCTACTTATAATAATAAATTAAAATTATATCTACACATAGTAAAATATTGGCTTATCATGTCTTTGAAACACAACTCTGTGATGATAGTAACAATCCGGACAGAGATTATATTAGACATACTAGAACCATGTTGTCTGTTGCGACACAGAGATGGCGCTGCTTTGTAAAATCGTTAAAATCTCTCAAACACTAGATGGCTCTAGTATGTCTTTACAGTCTCTGAGTATCGATCAATGGTGTGATAACACGGATTTAGAAGTTAATAGATGTCCTTATGCATTACTGATATTTCTTAAACATTCACTAAGCATGTTCTAAACAATCATTTTACTTTTTTATCATAGATTCATCCCAATAGCTTCACCGTAAAGGGCAAGACAACTCGCAGTGAAGGATACATCTTACGTCTTTACACTTTACTATAACGACATTACAATCTAAACGAGAAACATATATCCATCCTTGTCGCACTACCAGCTTACATGCGAGTGTGAGTGAAACAAAAGCGTGCGGTTTAGTAGAAGAAGAGCAGTCGCTCTTGAGCCGTGCCAGAAAGTAGACGCCAGCCGCGCTTGATGTTCAGGTACTGGATGATAGCACGAACGCAGATTAAGATACCTGGAAATGAATAAGAAAGCAATTATTAATAAATATAATTATTATTTCCAGAATTTAGACCCAAACAAAAATCCATAATGCCCACTGTACATACACACTCGCAATTGTTCACGGTACTACCCCAATGTCATTTTGATATTGGTCCTAAATTGGGTACTTGCCTACTAGTCAAATTCAATACCTCTTTCGAACTGTCAAAAACGAGAGTGTTCTATGAGTTTTGTACGAGAATGTGTATTGTGAAGTCACGTTTTTTTAGCGTCAAACAGCATACTTATTTCTTATAATCATCGGTCATAAAATCAATTAATGAAAGTGTGATTATTTGTTAATATTTTATTGTATTGAATGGTCGAAATAATTTATTTTTGATTAAGGAAAGTACCCAATTGCTTTCATGAGTCGTACAATAGTCAGCGTCTTTACCATTCGTAATAAAACAAACAAGATCTCATTCTCAAATCTACAAAATCAGATCTTTTATCTGGACAAATTTAGTTGAACTTTACATTAATCAAAAAAAAAAATTTTTTTCATTTAGCTTAGTTCAATAATAATATGTAGGTAAGAAACGTGTTTAGCAGTATTATGTAATTTCTGATGACGACAATCTTTGTACAATTTATTCTGTAAGATTACCACGAAACAACATTGACGTCAGAGAACGGACACGATGACCAATCTAATCATTATAAACAGATGAAAATAAATTCTATTAAGACGACTTCAAAATTCAAATTCGATTATAAATAGCTAGAATGAGACGTTTTATTGTACACAGAACGTACGCTATGAATAATTTGAACATCAATAATTGTTGAGTTTATGTTAATAAAAAAATATTTATTCGGCATTGTGTCAGACAAGTACTGGCTTCACATACAGGTGTTAATATAAACGTCATTCGATATTTGCTACCTAGTAAAAGAACTATATTTTTTCTTTCGCAATTAGTTACATAGTTGGTCGGGTTATTTTTATTGTTTTTGTTCTCAAAAAGTTAAACTTTTCACCAGATATTTTACGAATTCCATGTAATTGGGGCCATATTGGGCCCAGTTCCAGAATTCGTGTTACTACTTAGAATTTCAGTACGTACATATTCCTTTTTCGATAACGAGATATGAGAACATGTGCGGTGCAATGAACCTTTATCTCAATATTGCACAGCTAACCATGAACGCAAACAATCATTGTGAACGTCGTATTAATTGACAATCAACTGGCAATCAACGTCATTTTGCAAATAAATACTTCCATTCTTTTGAATTGAAAATTCTAGTTGCTTTGTTAACTGCCCTTTGTTTTGCCTTATTATTCATCAACATTATCAGGTGATACGTCTAATACTGAATAAAGTCCTTCCTCTTAAAATGAGGTTTTACTAAATTGGCTATTGGCACTCCGCACGCTTACTTCCAGTGCCGTCTTTACCATAAGGGCAGGGCACTCAGGGCCCGTGCCCAGGGCCCCCATACTCAGGGGACCCGCGAAGGACTGAGAATTTCTACGACGGACACACAACCACTACACGCTGCGCGGCAATCGGCTGCCCCGCAACGTGTAGCATTCGATCCCGCACGGAGCAACTCTGTGTGATCCAGAGATAGTTGTTCCCGGTCTGGGTGCCTTGTGTATGTGAAATAATGTGTTCGTAAATGCAATCACAATAGTATAGGGCAACGTTAAAAAACCGTTCCAAAGGGCCCCGTATTATTGTTTGCCCAAGAGCCCCAGTGAAGTATTAAGACGGCCCTGCTTCACATAGTGTAAAAATAAAAACTTAAAGTAAAGTTTTTTATACATCCGATCCGTAACATTTAAAAACAATTCTAATGCTCAGATATAAAGTTGAATTTAAACTAAAGCTTTTATTTTAATTCCTGACCTTCTTAATAGTACTAGTATGCAGTATGCTTCATTCTCAAGTCAACTCTATTTATACAGGTGTAGAGTTGACATTTGTTTAACTTGAAATTGAAGTAGGTTGGAATAGGCAAATATTGGCAAGATTGCGCATAATATGTGACTAGAGTATTAATAGTTTGCATAATAAAGTTTATAAAACGAGTTTTAAGTAATTTCATCAATAGACAGAGAACTGCGCAGAATTTGTAGTATAAGCTTCGTTCCCTTCTCCATTATTTAATTCTGATAGAATGGTAATTTGAAACGATTGGAGAAAGGTTACGCGCACAGTAATACTAAGTTGTCGCACTTTTCATTTCACTTCGACGAAAGAAACCTTATTTATTTATCTTGTCTGTAAGGATGAAAACAATTCGAATTAAAAACTATATTAATGAATATGTAACCTACTCGTCCTTACTAATATTATAAATCGAAAAGTGAGTTTGTTTGTTTGTTCCGCTTTCACGCCGTAACTACTAAACCGATTGCTTTGAATTTTTGCAGAAGTAAAGTTACGTAAGTCCGGATTAAATAATAGGGTACTTTTGATGCCGAAAAAGTTTGATATTCCCGAGGGAAAACAAAAGTATTGGTATAGATGGCGCTGTGTGTATTGGTATATGTCACATAGGCTACTTTTTATCCTTTTGTGACGCTAACGAAGCCGCGGGTAAAAGCTAGTTAGAATATAAAAAAACAAAAACCTTATTTTACCAACAAAACGCTTTTCGAGGAGATGCTTGGCTAGGACGCCTTTCTGTATACAACAAAAACGTCAATGATTTCTACAAACAAAGTAACATAGAAGCGCAATATTGCGTATGTAGTCGTGACTGTTACATGAGCAAACGTCATATGGCACGGGGTCAAGGTGACCGCACCGTGGTTCGCACACAGTCCCCATGAAATATTAATGAACATACCTATATCTGGTGTGTTATTAAATTGATGTTCCTATCGATTTTATTACTGCCTCATAGTTTCTATTGGTTACGAACTGAAAATATTCTAAATATTCATATAAGTGCACATTATTTTGTCTGACGAGGAACTAGACTTCTAGCAATGATATGTTTTTATAATAACTATCCTGAGACATGCTAAATTAACTAAAACTCGCGGGTTACTCATGAGCTGCCCACGAGGAAGAGCCCCTCTGTGGCTCGAAACTAGTAGAGCTTTTCTCAGTATTGTCACGTGAGTAACCCGCGATTTTTAAGTTAATTTGTAGCAATGCTGCTCATGAATATAAGCCCCTAGCGTGGCTTGAAATAAGTTGTCGTCAGTTACGTGAGTAAGCCGGTAAACATAATAATTAATTTAGTATTAACTTATTCCCTATTATTTTACTTAACACCACAGAATTATAATTAACAGTTATCATTCACCACCACTGTCGTGGTGGCCCAGAGGTTGAAAACGCCTGCTTCTCATGCACGAGGGTGCAGGTTCGAAACCTACCAACAGCAAGTACCAATGTGACTTTTTCCGAGTTATATGTACTTTCTAAGATTATTTAGACACCACTGACCAACGGTGAAGGAAAACATTGTGAGGAAACCTGGGCTTATAATTTCTAATTATAAGTTTGAAATCGCCAACCCGCATTGAGCAAGCGTGGTGATTAATGCTCTAACCTTCTCCGTGTGAGAAGAGGCTTTGCTCAGCAGTGGGCATTTATAAGCTGTTGATGATTCACCACTAAAAACTGAGTAAACGTACGATTACAACGTTACATTCAATTAAAATTTAACACAAATAAGGAATTTCTTATTTAACTTACTCACGAGACATTATAAAAATTGGCGCAGTCGTTTTCGAGTTACAATCTCTAAACTCAGTGTCGTACGTACAAATGGTACTATTGACCTATTTCATGAAGAAGCGTAGGTCGCCTCTTAGTTAGAAATGATTAGGTAAGTGGTCCTACTGATTGAAGTAACGGACGTTCACACATATTGTTACTATCAGAGCATTCATAGCCGTCTCGTTTCAGAAACAGATCACATTTCTAGATGATTGTTACAATAACATAATATCATTCTTGATAGTCCCTAACCTTTAGGAGCAAAGGCTCTAAGGAGATAGGGTAGTGTACTTCAAGAGTGCTTTTATCTTATTTTTTTATTTTCTTCATCAATTTTTATCTTATTGAAAGGCATAATGCGAAACTCCGTGACAAAATTGAGTATTTCTAAATCTAAATAAAAGTTACCTACCTTTCTTTTTGTTTGTATTTGTATAATCTTATAATTAAGCCTAAAACCACTTACGAGAAGCGGTTATGGTAGGTTAGTTTTATCTGTTTTTAATGTCAGTTGATTTCAAATAATGGTCCATATTTAGCTCTTATAACCGGTTTGTCTCAATTACGTCTAGTAAACAATCAAAAGCGTCATATAATTCTAGAAAAGTCGCTGTGATTCACGGAACAATTTATACTAATAGAAATAAATTAGATAAGCGTGCACAATGGTAGATCGCATCACAGTGCCTACTTATAGTTTATTTAATCAAATACTCTACTGTTAAAATAGTGGAACTATTTCTCGATAATCATTTGCTATAGAAAATAAAGAAATAAAAAATGTTATTAAATTGTATGCGTTTTAACGAAGCTAAATCTTAAGTAGTAGTATCTGTAGACTACAGTGTCGACTCTATTTTATTGATTTATCTATACCTATATCAAATGCGAAATATGTTGCGCTCGATCGAGCTTAGTGGCCTGCTATTGTAGAGGCTATGTTCAGCCGAGAACGGTAACAGGCCGACGGTAAAACAAAATAACTTGTCCGACTGTATAGGTTAGGTATAGTAATAAAACAGCAACTTACCAAACGCCATTATAAGCCACCAAAGCCAGGAGTTCTCGTGGGACGCGAGCTCGGTGGAGTGTTTCACAATAAGTGTCCATTTAGCGAGAGAGAGTCCGAAGCCGGCCAGAGCACCGTAGCGACTCGCCACCGTGTGACAGAAACACATCAGGAGCAGGAAACCGATCCAGTTGAACAGGAATGCCACTGGAAATAAACAATGATGTTTTTTTTTTCATTTTTAAGCTTCTGCCAGCGGCTTCGCCCGCGTTCTCGTAGCATAAAAAGTAGTCTATATGTTATTCCAGACCACAATCTATCCCAGTTTCAAGTTTCACCCCGATGCCTTCAGCCGTTTTGATGTGAAGGAATAACAAAGTTTCCTTCTAGGTAACTTCCAGCAAGGTGGAGTGACAATATACGTAAAGTGGCTGATAGCGTAGAGCGTAGAGCTGAAGACCGAGCTTAGTGGCGTGCCATTGGAGAGGTTTATGTCCAGCAGTGGACGAAAACAGGCTGTTGATGATGATGATGATGATACAAACTTTCGCATTTATAATATTAACATAACATAACATCACGCCTTTTACCCTCGAAGGGGTAGGTAGAGGTGCACATTACGGCACTGAATGCCACTGCACAATGTAATACCCACTTTTCACTATTTATGTTATGAGTCCCACTCATGTAATAGCGGGTGAGCCTATTGCCATATACCGGACACATTTCCAGACTCCGTGCTACTACTTAGATTTTCTAAAAACCCAGTAATACTTTGCCCGACCCGGGAATCGAACCCGAGACCCCTTGCTCGGCAGTCGCACTTGCGACCACTCGGCCAACGAGGCAGTCAGTTCATGGACACACATACAATACAAAGGACAACACATATTTTAAAACAATAAAAACAAAGTACATGGGTTTTTTTTTAAGGGGGGAAAATCATCGAATGACTGCTCCCGCCTGGGTGAGGCGGGAGGGAGTGTGACTGCACGTCGAGCCGGAGCCCCGGTTACCCGTTAGGTTCTCTGCGACTCCGAATCGGCATCGGCCCTATTGGGCCCCATCTGAGATAGGGTAGGATTATTAGTAGGAAGCCTGACCGTACACTAGGATTTTTCCCGTATCATGGCTGCATTTACAAACTCGCTATAACAATGCTGACTCGGAACAACAATTTGCAGATAAAAGATAACAATGATTTGTTCCATGCGGGTATCGAACTCACAAGTCTCAGGACACGTTACAAAGCAGATGGTCGCATAACATTATCAATGAAATCCGAAACTCTATATACGACACTATTTTAAAACCCTTGCTCCCTGGTATTAAGATGTACTTAGGTAACGGTAACTGCCTACCATCAGATGGGCTTTACTGCTACCAAAGAAAGACTATTCAGCACCAGGCACGACGCAGCATAAATAAAATAAATAAAAAGACAATAAAGGTGTGACAGTGGAAGTAATAAAAACATTGAGTTGAAAAATTAAAACAGAAGAATTAGAAGAGACACTGACAACATGCCTAGATGCTAAAAGGGTCACCCACTCAGTGTAAGCCAGACATACAAGTCACCCAGCACTGATTTTCTGTACCAAGTAATAGTATAAAAACAAACAAGTAACTCACCAAAAAATGATGTTAAGAACATGATGTCTGTGCCAAGTAGACTGTTCTCGGGATCCAGTTGTTCAGCTGAACCCTCGGTCGGTTCCACCGTTACGAAGGCCGCAAACGTCGGGTGGTTTGGAGGGGGGCCTTGCATCTAAATAAAATAAATATAGACGATATTATCTTGCAGTTGTCACCTGTGTATCATGTTCAAAACTGAAAGATGTGTTTACAAACATTTTTATACCAATGACTTTTAAAAAAGGCGGACATATTTTAAGCCGCGGTTAAGTACAACCAACGGCAATTACCAATGTGACTTTTTCCGAGTTATATGTACTTTCTAAGATTATTTAGACACCACTGACAAACGGTGAAGGAAAACATCGTGAGGAAACCTGGACTTATGATTTCTAATTATAAGTTTGTAATCGCCAACCCGCATTGAGCAAGCGTGGTGATTAATGCTCAAACCTTCTCCGTGTGAGAAGAGGTTTTGCTCAGCAGTGTAAGTACAACTTAAAATTGAGTATTCGGGCGTTAATGTCATAGAAATGATTGAAGCACCAAAATGCCAGTGGGTTATTTATTTGTGCGTGTGTAATGGGTTACCACGTTACCAGACTTAAGAGAATGACAGATGTCCTTCGTGTCAATGTGTTTATGTTCAGTATGTAAGTCTATAGTAACCAGGTGCTTCAGTCGTTATTTAAAGAGACTGCATCGCTTCAAACCTTTTTTTTGTCTTTCCTTTATACTATGTGAAAAGGCAACCATACCTTATTTTAAGGACGTTCACCACTCGCAATAATTGGACACATTTCATATGATAAATACGTCAAGTTATAAGTGTTAAGTTAGACTAAAAGACATAACATCATCACGCCTTTTATCCCCGAAGTGTGTGTACATTATGCCACTGTATAATGTAACACCCACTTTTCACTATTTATGTTATGAGTCCCATGTAAAAGGAGGTGAGCCTATTGCCATATACCGGGCACAATTCTAGACTCCGTGCTACTACTGAGTTTTTTAAAAAAACTAGTAATACTTTGCCCAACGCGGGAATCGAACCCGAGACCCCTTGCCCGGCAGTCGCACTTGCGACCACTCCGCCAACTAGGCTGTCTAAAGACTAAAAGAACCGTAATCAAACGTGACACATCCTAAATCTAACAGTAGAGTGTGTTTACAAATGTACAAATTCACATATACATATTATTATGTATTTATATTTAATTTACTAACTATTATACCACTACATACTCTAAGTAGTAATTACTTAATAATTAAGTAAACTGCTAATGGCTAAAAGAAAAAACTCGATTTAAATACTGATGTTTACCAAATTAATTATATAATTATGAATAACACTCTCCTAGAATATCATTATGTATTATCATTTTACAGACTATTGTCTAAGTAATCTGAACAAATATTATCATATCAAACATTTGCAAATGTTTAAATAGGTTTACCTACGCAAACCCACATTGATATGATGTACTTATCAATGGTAAGTATTCAATGTACTTATGATAACAACTCGTCACAAACAACAAAATCTTTTTATGTGGTGATTCATAAATTTAAAAATTATGTATAGTTCATTGAGCTCATAATCTACAGCTATCTATTGTACCTATGTGTACAGATATACATATATAATGTGTATTTTTATTATAGTAGATAAGATAATAATACAGATTACACAATAATCCAAGTTAACAGATTAGACTATAACACAGTGCATTCGTACTTTAGTTACTTATCTTCATATACAGGGAAAAACATAAATAAATGAGTTAGCATACTGCTACTGGGTTTTTTGATTTGTAATTCGCAAGGAATCTACAAAAATATAGTATACAAAACAGGTTTTGTAGTTAGTATAATATCATTTGTCACTTTTAAATTGTCCAGGGGGTAGGCTGAGGTGCAATTTATAAATTGTTAATAGCCACTTTGGTTGAGTTATGTTATGAGTCCAAAGCAAGATACACAGTTTGAGACTAGGTATACTCTCTATACTGCTATTGAGGAATTTTCGAAATAAAGGAGAGAAGTTCTACATGTAGTACTCAGCTTGACATGAGAGTCATATGTCGGTAGGCGCTTCTTGCAGCTACATAATCCATAGGTTAGTCAAAACAATAGATTAAATGACATAACTAGGGAAAACTGTACATAATTAGGTATGCATGTATTCTTTTACAATAGCTAAAAAGGTGCAATATTTCATGATGTTTACAAAAATCATCTATTCTATATTGAAAAGAATGATAGCAGTGACTCATTACTAAAAAAACAATATTATTTAAGACACATTTCATAGCCATACACTGCATTAATAAAGCCAATGATTGAGGATAAAAGTTGTGGTCAAATTATAGTGTGTTACCTCTTACACTCAAGAAATAAAATGTTTTGTACTATTCCTTAGTAAAAAGTATACCTGTTGCCACTCTGTGCCTTAGTGAGAAAAGGATAGCATGATTAAAAATGGGTTTTATTTACCTGTGGCAGGTCTTCCCCCTCCATCTGTTTTTCCCTCTGAACTTCCTCATATGTAGGGAGTTTGGAGTTTGCAGCCACATCATAAGGGGGCGGTGCTGAGAAATCTGCTTGAGGAGGTGGTATATCATGAATATTATCTACAAAACAAAATAAACCTTATTACTTTCTCTGTGAAATAAAATTTCAAGGTGATGTCATAGTTCAGGCAATGTCACATATATAGTTATTGATTCAGACTGTACTTGTATTATAATCTAAGCACAGTACAGTAATCCAGTGATAATAATACAAGCTTGAATAATAAGTTACATGTGATGTAATTACTAGATATTGTACACTGATAAATAAATTGCATGATAAAAACACATTAATTTTTCAATGTTTTGTCATGATAATATCACTATTTGATGATTCAATTGTTTCATTCTAACTTTTGATTGCTTGCAATTGAAACAGAGTCAATATTTATAAACCTTATGAGGTGCATGTCAATACAGCTACAGGTAAATCTTACAGAACCATATTGTTATCGCGTATCGCGTACACTATGTAAATGAACAGTGCGTGTGTCGTTGCAATTAATTACTCACTTATATCGATAAACGGTGGAGGCATACTATGTTCCACTGACGTCGGCAACATCACTCTCAGCTGCGCCGCCGTGCATATGTTGACATCACTTCGAGGGTGGCTCTGAAACATTATAGCGACTTTCACATATCACATATTCTACGCAAGTAGTTACATAAATAAACAATTGGAGAAAAAAACATTAATGTCACAAGTAAATACCATGTCCACTGTTTAGAATTGTCACAGTTAAATAGTTCACTATTTTCACGAAAACGCGTGTACAGAAACTATATTGCAATTCAGACACAATATAATAATGATCTTCGCATCGTCCAAGGTTTTTCCGACAATTTATCACTGCAAGTTAGAGCAGGCGCACCTCTCTTCATTCACTTGAATGACGTTTATTATCGAAGTTCAGAAACATAGCTTCGAACTCTCAATACTATTAATGATGCTAGTGTTGTCCGAAATTCAAATTATAAATATGTTTCATTATCAAATAATGAAAATTAAGTTTCTTCATAAATATTATTGTTTTAAAATTTGCAGTAAATATTGAATTATTATAAGAATATGGAACCAGGAAAACTAATTTAAACATACAAAAATAATACGATCACTTTTTGTAAGCCAGTACGTATTTGAACGCGTACTACAAAAGTCAATACCATGGTGTTTCTATAGCTAAAAAGAATGGAACATTAACATAAAAATAAAATTACAATCGACTTTCTTTACTATAATTAACATTTGTAATACTGCTAATTCTACTGCAGTTTTCGAAACTTTCCTCATTGCTCTTGCACCTTTTACTTTAAAATTATTGTGGTGAATACTTTAGGTTTTTCATGCTCTTTTATTTTCTGTGGGTAGCCCTAACAAGACATTGACAACTTTGACATGACATGACATCGAAATAAATTTCACATTTGTATTGGATTTGCTTGCTTCATACATGGAATTAGTGGAATTTCGAATTTGAGAATCAATAGTCAGTTGTGGGTACTACCCGGTTTTCATGCTCAATAAATCTTTGAATACGAAGCAGAAATCATGAAGACTGCGTTAATGGTGGCTGAAAAGCCATCGTTAGCACAGAATGTGGCTAATATACTCAGCAATGGCAAATGCAGTACGACAAAAGGTTTGTGGCATAACCAAGTTTGAATTACCCAATTTTATTGAAAATATAAAAATAATTTCTCATTTTTACAGCATCGAACAACGCTTGTAACATACACGAATGGCACGGAACGTTTAAAAATGAGCAAGTTCGGTTCAAAATGACTTCCGTATGTGGTCACGTTATGAGTCTGGATTTCACCGGCAAATATAATAATTGGGATAAAGTGGACCCGGTCGAGTTGTTTAGTTGCCCGACAGAGAAAAAAGAAGCAATGCCTAGACTTAGAATACCAGCATTGTTGGCCCAGGAATCTAAATCCTGTGACTACCTGATTTTGTGGCTGGATTGTGATAAAGAAGGAGAAAATATTTGTTTCGAAGTAAGTTATGAATACTTTTCTGTCTGTCGATAATTATAATTAAAGGTTACCTGATAATTTCAGGCATAAAAACAAATCCTTTTGCAGGTATTTGATTTTTTGCACATGTCGTTTTACTTGTTGCAATTGAAATTACCTACCTGTGATAACATATATAACAATAATTTACAAATTTGATTTAATATTGTTATGCTATGTGTTCCTATAAGAATTATTAATTTTAAATGAATAAGTAAGTGAAGGAGGCATATAACGATCGTAGCAATTGATATTCCAAAGTCTCTGCCTAACCCGTACTATTTAAATTGATAATACCATTTTAAACTGTCAAACACCAAGCGGTCACCGGTGACCGCAACCTATTGTTCTATAATTGTGTCTACAAAACCGGTACTCGACGAGTTAAACTGTCAAATACCAAGCGGTCACCGGTGACCGCAACCTATTGTTCTATAATTGTGTCTACAATAACGGTACTCGACGAGTTAATAAAGGAAATAAAATCGATTTTTCAAAAAATCTTAAACGAGTGTGGGTGATTTAACAGTTTCGTTGTCCATAGGTAATGAGTTGTGTCCAGGCTTACTTGAAGGGGGATGTTTGTTCACCTCTAGTGACATACCGTGCAAAGTTCTCAGCCATCACAGACAAAGACATCAAAGCAGCCATGTTAAACCTTGGCAGGCCTAATGAGAATGAGTCCCGGAGCGTTGACGCAAGACAAGAACTAGATTTACGCATCGGTTGTGCATTCACAAGATTCCAGACTAAATATTTTCAAGGTGAGTTAGTAAAAATATTTTAACTAACGAAACAGGGCAGAAATTAGGAATAATTTATTTTGGAAAAAAGTGGGTATACTAAAATAAAATTGAACTTACTGAATTATTCCATTCTGATATTGGTGATATTTTCTTTCGACTACTTGTCCTGAAATGTATAAAATATATAATTTCAGGAAGATATGGTGACTTAGATGCATCACTTATATCATATGGTCCATGTCAAACTCCAACATTGGGTTTTTGTGTACAACGGCATGATGAAATCCAGACTTTTAAACCGGAAACATATTGGGTGTTACGCGTCACTGCTAGTACTTCGGAGGGCAGGGAGTTACCATTGGAATGGAAAAGGGTTCGGAGTTTTGAGAAAGATATAGCCAATATGTTCCTTGCTGGTATCAAGGAAATAAAGGAAGCTGTGTAAGTATAAGTTTATTGTATAAACTTAAGCACTTTGTTAATGTAATTGTCTCGGTAAATAATTGATAGAAAAGGTATATGAAAATCTATGATATGTATATGATGTAGGGTAAATTGAATTTTATTTATTTTTCTTATAAAACTTTGTAAGTGTTTAACTTCAGTTTAGATTGTTTTCTTTTTTAGAAAATACTTTGTTATACACATTTTAATTAAAATAGTTTTTTTAAATTGAAGTAAATTATTTAAGTTGGATTTCGATAAGTCTCTTAGATTGACCAATCAAAATTAATGAATAGAATTATTAAAATTTCGACAGTGTGGTGAACATTCAGGCTAAGGAAAAAGTAAAACCTCGTCCTGTGGCCCTCAATACAGTGGAACTGATGCGAGTGGCCAGTGCAGGACTCGGTATGGGGCCCCATCATGCTATGCAGGTTTGTGGAACTTCTGAAAATTATCATAGTATCCACTCTGGACAAAAGTGTTACTTAAAAATATTTTAGGAATTTGTCCATCTCTTATTTAGCATGATTATCAGCACCATCTTCACCATAACTTGCTTACTAAAAATTATTATTTGCAATATTACCCAGTTTTTGGCAGTTGTTGTAAGTCATGTTCTAAGTGGTGACCTACACTGGACGTGATCCCAACAATACATATAGCATCCATGAACATAAACCATGCCTTTTATATGGTACCTAGTATGTAATATTAGAACGATTGTCCTTTTGCATCAACTTCTGAATTGAACAAATCGTATTAGAAACTAGACATTAATTTTATTGGACGTAATTACGTTTAATGGTTGTAGTGCGGCTCTACGAAAGAGTAGCGTGCAAGAATTCATTACACTAACCAATTAAAAAATGCAAACCATTATGTACCTTGTTAGAAGGAGTTAAGGTCAATGTCTACCGTATTTACCATTGCTCATTATACTATATGAAATTAGAATTCAACCCTCGCAAAACATACGTTATTTTTATCGGCAACAATATATAAAAACGTTTTAGTCTGTTAGAAATTGGGTGATTTTTTGGTAGGCGATTGTAAAAACATAAAGATTGCGTCATTATTTGTATAGTAGGTAATGATATAGACACCTGTAGTGAAAATAGTTACAACACCCACCTCCCGAGGAAATAAATATGTTTATCATTGTCCTACAGATTGCAGAACGACTATACACACAGGGTTACATTTCGTATCCCCGTACTGAAACCACCAGCTATCCAGAGAACTATGATTTAATGTAAGTTACATAATATTCTACTTATTATTTTCCGCGAGATTTTTACTCTTCCTTTGAACAAATCTAAAGTCTAAATCTATCTAATAACTAGAGTTCTTCGGCGGTAGACCGCCATCACAAGTTGAAATATCTAAATACCTGAATAGTAACATTACTTTGAACGAACCAATGAACGAACGAATAACGATGATCGCACGAACGTACAAGCGAGCGCACGAGCAAACTCTTGAGCTTATAATAAGTATAAGATAAGATATTAATATTTTTGTGAGTGTAAAGACACTCACTGCCTTATACACAGACTTTTTAATGATTACTCAAACCAGGGCTTCCCAAACTACGGGTCGCGACCCATTGGTGGGTCGCAAGCGAATTTTTAGTGGACCTTCTCTATAAATTAACGCACTAACCACCCGTTCTTTGTTTTATACTTTTCATATTGGTAACGGTTTAATTTCCTTGAAGAAGGGCGTAACTTTGCGCACTTGATTTAGATAGGTCGTAGTCCAGACAACTTTGAGAACCACTGACTTAAACTATTCCCTAGTAACAATTTTGTTCCGAACACAGTAGCTAAAGATCGGGTTAAGTAACCATTAAATGGTTCTGAGTACGGCGGTTACAGATTTTGTAAATTTTCAAGGGGTACACTTCGTCAGCAACAGAATTCGAACAAGTGGGGGGCCGAAGTGAGGGCCATTATTGCTAATGGTATCAATAGGCCGAAAAAAGGTCACGATGCTGGCGACCACCCTCCCATCACACCTATGAGGCCGGCTGGTAAGTTATTATCATCATCATCAACCTGTTTCCGTCTATTGCTTATTCTTATTTTATTCGTTTGGTTCACCAAACAATTGATTACACGGTAGATCCTAGCTTATATGAGTTGCAGCGGTTTTGGTACGTTGTAGCGGGTTTGATACAATACTGTTACATTTATAATCAACTTAACTTACCACAAAATGCAATTTACTGCTGGACAATGGATATAAGTCTTTCAAATAGCACGCCACTGAGTTTGATTTTCATCACTGCTGGTAGCATAGATTTGTTGTTGTTGCGATCTCTTACAAATTATGATAATTTCATAATTTCATTTTGTGTTCCATTTTCAGTGGAGTCAGACTTAGAAGGTGACGCGTGGCGTATCTACGACTATGTAACTCGTCACTTCATAGCCACGTTGTCCCGCGACTGCAAGTACTTGTCCACTGTCATCACCTTCCAGATTGGATCGGAGACGTTCAAGTACACTGGAAACACACTCGTTGATGCTGGGTACACTGAGATTATGCATTGGCAGGTATAGTATCTTACTAATATTATAAATGAAACTCATACTGAGGTCTTAGTATGAGTGGTTGAAATGAGTGTTGGATGTGGTTTAAAATAATCTAAACGAGACCGCGTTCGGTGCTCTGATTGGTTGGTTCATTAAAGCTGATTCTCTGCATCGATACGAAGCCGCGGAGAACGTAAAAGGTTACTGGGGCTCCCACTCGAAGTGCAGGAGTAGGAACGAGGTGATTTTTAGTAAGAATCTGACTCTCCTCGCCGTCACGCTTCTCCCGCCTGGGAGAGGCGAGGAGAGTCATTCGATGATTTTTCGTCGTCATAATTCGATGATTTTTCCCCTTAAAAAAAACTCACTAGATGGAATTTGGTACAGGAGTATCATAGTGGAATAACACATAAGCTGCTTTTATCCCACGGGCACGCGGGCGAAGTTGCTGAAGCTAGTTAATAATAATTTTCTGTTTTCAAAAAGTATTTCGATATATTGGTATGAGACACCGATGTAGTCAAGTAAGCATTGCACCTCTATTATTCCTTTACTATTTGTTCCAGGCATTCGGTAAAGATGAGTTTGTACCGTTACTGAATGTGGATGATGTACTGCGAGCCCACGATCATAGATTGGTGGAGTGCCAAACGTCACCTCCGGACTATCTCACTGAATCTGAGGTAAAGTACATGTATAAGTTTAATTAATTAAGTGTGGGAGAGTTATGCTTCGGCAGGAACGAGCCGGCTCGACCGGAGTGATACCACGGCCTCACAGAAAACTGACGTGGAGCAACGGTTGTGTTGTGTTTTGTCATGTGAGTGAGGTTACCGGAGTCCTAATTACCCCCCGCCTCCCTTCCCCAATCTCTCCAATCCCTGAATCCCCAACAATCCTCAAACTCTTCATCCTCAAAAGGCCGGTAACGCACTTGTTGCGCCTCTGGCGTTCCAGGTGTCCATGGACGACGCCGACTGCTTACCATCAGGAGATCCGTCTGCTCGTTTACCGGCCTATCCCATAAAAAAAGTAATTGAAATTAAACAACAGTTTTAAGTTGCCAAAGATAAAATTCTTTTATTGGTTCATTTTAGGGTGATTCCCGTTGCTTCTTTTTTTCTAATACACTAACAAAAGGTGGGTAAACTATTCGTCTGTGAGAGCAGCTAAACTATTTATACTAATTATTAAGAAAACGTATTCCTATCTTTTTTTTTATATTTTTTATTAATTTTTTTTATGGCATAAGCCGGTAACCGAGCAGACGGATCACCTGATGGTAAGCAATCGGCGTCGCCCATGGACACCTGGAACACCGGAGGCGTTACAAGTGCGTCACCGGCTTTTTGGGGATTAGGAGTTTGAGGATCGTTGGGGATTCAGGGATTGGGGAGATCGGGGAAGGGGAAGGTAATTGGGCCTCCACTCACACGACGAAACACAACGCAAACGTTGCTTCACGTCGGTTTTCTGTGAGGCCGTGGTATTCCGGTCGAGCCGACCCCTTCGTGCCGAAGCATGGCTCTCCCACACTTAAAAAAGTCATGATGATGAAGTATTTTTAAATAAGTCATGATGTCATGTTTCTACATTCCCCAAATTTAAATATTAAAGTAGGTCAATTAACACACGTGAACTGTTCGAGAAAAGCTCTACCAGTCTCAGGTCATACCGGGACTCTTATTCATTGTCTTAAGATATTTATTACACAAAAACAATTATTTTTGCTACAGGTAATCACGCTTATGGAGAAGCATGGTATTGGTACTGACGCGTCAATCCCCGTGCATATAAACAATATTTGTCAACGCAACTACGTCACCGTCGGCAGCGGACGGAAACTTATACCCACTAACTTGGGTATTGTGCTCGTACACGGATATCAGAAAGTGAGTATGATGCGTTGATATTTTAGATATATGTATATGGTCCCTCTGATTTGTTGGTTAACTTGGAGCAGCCAATCAGAGCACCAAACCTCATAAACGTGTTGATTGTGATAAAACAAACTCGAACTTGTCATGCAAGACGAAATGAAATAAAGGCAATGAAGAATTCTCTATAATAAAATTAAAATCCAAATATTGTTTTAGATCGACCCTGAACTTGTTCTACCAACGATGCGATCGGCTTTGGAAGAGCAATTGAATCTCATAGCAGTCGGTCGTGCAGATTTCCACGCAGTACTAAATCATACTACGGAAATATTCCGTAGAAAGTTCCAGTACTTTGTGAGGTCTATTGAGGCCATGGATCAGTTGTTTGAGGTCAACTTCTCGTCGCTCAAGACTAGTGGTAAGGCGTTGTCGAGATGCGGCAAATGTAGGCGGTACATGAGATATATTCAGGTGAGAATTTGCACCTATATATTATTGTGCTTAATTGACGAAGAGAGTATGAGGTTTTATTACATTACTCACAATAGCCTCA